TTCCTCCAGCCCCTGCAACACTCCCATCTTCTCCACCAAGGACCCCAATGTTACCATTGGGATATGGTTAGTCCAACCATAAACTGATAGTCAAACCCAGGTTCCCATGAGTGCCCGATCCAACACCAACCGGGCCCCTACCTATCCCTCCGACACCACCCCCTTTACTGCATTAGCATCCCCCTTGCTTTCTCTCACATCCGCTGTGTCTCCATTCACAGTCTCCGTCTCCATTCACAGTCTCCGTCTCCATTCACAGTCCCCGCTTGCTTTCACCTGGGAATGTCAACAGTACACATGGACGGATGGTTTCGCCTCAAGGTTCCACTGAAGTCCCTGCTTGCTTTTCTCGGACTCTAAATGCTCATGTGGCCGAAACCGGTTTGGCTCAGTGGATAGAGCATCGGCCTGCGGACTGAAGGGTCCCAGGTTCAATTCCACATCCCTAGTAGGGGGTGTGCAGGAGGCAGCTGATCGATGTTTCTCTCTCATCGATGTTTCTAACTATCTCTCTCCCTTCCTCTCTGTAAAAAAATCAATAAAATATATTTTAAAAAAATAAAATAAAACAAATATTCATGTGAAGGATCTGGTTTTTCCTTGCAATTCCTCTCTAACCCAGGATGTGGATGGTCCTCCTGTCTGCTTGGTTCATCTCAACAAGTCACTGACGCTCAATATCTACTCCCAAGCCCTTGGTCCCAGGGACACAGGCATCTAGGAACATATCACCACCGTGTCAGTCACAATTCAGGACATGACCTTGCACCTGCAGGTAAAACCGTATCCGCAGCATGCATTTAGCCCATCATCAATTTCATCTTTACCCAGGACTAAAATGCAACTGCAATGGTCTGGGCCTGATAGGGGTTGAATTGTGTCCTCCATACCCCCACCTCCCTGAAAAAGATATGTTGAAGTCATCCAATACCTCAGTGACCTCATTTGGAAATAGGATCATTGCGGATGGTTTGAGCATTGTCCCACATCCCTCCTCAAAAACTCCTCCCAACTCCACGCTCCACTGTTGCAGGAACTCCTTCCTATTCCTACCATCTACTAGT